TATAGAACGGTGAAACATGAATAGAGAGAGTTATGACTGTTCTAGAGAACATATTTTCATTTGGTTGGTTTTTTTTAGAGCGTGGGAAGTTTTCATGCCCTGAATTATTGCCCTATTCTGCAAAATTGGTATTTTTATCTTTGTGCCTTCACTGTCATTATGAGAGAAGCCACAGCTTTATGAATCCTGTGTCATCACTAAAACTAGTCTATGTGCCTTTGAGGCTTAATGTCCATGATTAATTAAAAGACGAAACTAATTCATATTTGTATTATTTTAAGGAAGCATTTTCAATTATATATATTATCTTCTTTCTGGTGGGGGGACTCTTTTTTAAGGTCAGTTAAAGAATCTCTAACAAGTAATGTAGTGTTCTAAATAACCCATGCAAAACTGACTCTGGCGAGAATAGTCAGGTATTAGGAAGTGTCTATCCAAAGCGAAGATGGACATTTGGTAACCAGGAGTTAAACAGAAATTAAGAGGACAGATAGATGAATTAAAAAATATATATATGTGGTAGTGCCAAAGAGACCATGAAATAATGTTCACTTCATTTATTCAACTCATTTAATCTATTGAACGTATTGCCTGCTTTGTGTAAGGCAATGTTCTAGGTCCTTGAAACGCACTGATGACAAACATAGATAGATCCCTCCCTTCATGGAACTTACATTCCAGTGGGACTTGACAGCTCCCGACAATACCTAATTTTCAATAAAAATGCAGTGACAGTGGTAAAGAGTGATAAATATTGCTTTATTGCTAATACACTTTGTTTTTCTGCCTGTTGTTCATCAGCAAACAATCATTGGACACCTATTTGAAAAAAGTCCTTTGCCAAATGCTGAGAAAGATGTGAGACATGGTTTGTTTGCATACAAACTGCTGATTATCCTGAAGGTCAGAGATGTCTGTATGTGCAAAGCATTTGTCTTGATTGGAACTGCTTCTCTCCGCGACAGCTGGTTTTTGAGGACATGTGCTTCATAGTAAATAAAGTAAAAGTTGCTACTCTCTTATTGATCAGAAAACATGGATGTATATAATATGACACTTCCTTACAGTGTTGGGCAGGCTTATATAGATCATTGCATATTTGTGTAGGGTAAAATACAGAAATTTGAATTACTAGATCAAAGGGCACTTTGAGTTTGTACGTCTAAGAGATTTATTCAAATTTCCCTTTTTGGATATTTTATAATTTATATTCCCAACAGTAATATTATTCAACAGCCTCAATAACACAGTATTATCACAATGATGTATTTTGGTCATGTGGGTAGATGAAAAAGAAATACCATTATAGTCTTTACTTTTATTTCCTTAATAAATTGAGGTTGAGCATGTTGTCATATCTAAGAGGCATTTATATTTCCATTTCTTTGAATTGCCTATTCCTACCTATTATTCATTTTGCCTATTCATTTATTAATCTTTTTCTTAGTTATTTCTGGAAACTTTTATTCCTTAAGAAGATGAATCATCCTTCATAAAAGACTTGAAGGGATAGAGTTGGACTAATCTTTAATCACTGAGAGCTGTCAGTTTTTGAGAGATAATGCGAGCAGACTTTAATAGGGATGATCAAATTAATGTAGCCATTTCAAACAGAGCTCTCCGAACAAACAGGTCTCCACAAAGCCAGCAAATCACTACTAAAATGGCTTCAAGACAAAAACGCTACCTAATATGAGACCAACTTAACTCCTAGTAAAAACAGCTTGACCTTGTGTTGATCCCATCTGCCTCTAAATCTTTATTTTGACAGAACCCGTGTTCTACTTGCTGGGGTCTTTAATATATTTACTAAAGAATCAAGTAACTCAGAAGCCTAAATGAAGTACCAGGAAAAAGAGACTGCATTTAAAATATAGAACGGTGAACATGAATAGAGAGAGTTATGACTGTTCTAGAGAAATATTTTCATTTGGTTGGTTTTTTTAGAGCGGGGAAGTTTTCATGCCCTGAATTATTGCCCTATTCTGCAAAATTGGTATTTTATCTTTGTGCCTTCACTGTCATTATGAGAGAAGCCACATCTTTATGAATCCTGTGTCATCACTAAAACTAGTCTATGTGCCTTTGAGGCATAATGTCCATGATTAATTAAAAGACGAAACTAATTCATATTTGTATTATTTTAAGGAAGCATTTTCAATTATATATATATTATCTTCTTTCTGGTGGGGGGACTCTTTTTTAAGGTCAGTTAAAGAATTTCTAACAAGTAATGTAGTGTTCTAAATAACCCATGCAAAACTGACTCTGGTGAGAATAGTCAGATATTAGGAAGTGTCTATCCAAAGCGAAGATGGACATTTGGTAACCAGGAGTTAAACAGAAATTAAGAGGACAGATAGACGAATTAAAAAAAAAATATGTGGTAGTGCCAAAGAGACCATGAAATAATGTTCACTTCATTTATTCAACTCATTTAATCTATTGAATGTATTGCCTGCTTTGTGTAAGGCAATGCTCTAGGTCCTTGAAACGCACTGATGACAAACATAGATAGATCCCTCCCTTCATGGAACTTACATTCCAGTGGGACTTGACAGCTCCCAACAATACCTAATTTTCAATATAAATGCAGCGACAGTGGTAAAGAGTGATAAATATTGCTTTATTGCTAATACACTTTGTTTTTCTGTCTGTTGTTCATCAGCAAACAATCATTGGACACCTATTTGAAAAAAGTCCTTTGCCAAATGCTGAGAAAGATGTGAGACATGGTTTGTTTGCATACAAACTGCTGATTATCCTGAAGGTCAGAGATGTCTGTATGTTCAAAGCATTTGTCTTGATTGGAACTGCTTCTCTCTGCGACAGCTGGTTTTTGAGGACACGTGCTTCATAGTAAAATAAAGTAAAAGTTGCTACTCTCTTATTGATCAGAAAACATGGATGTATATAATATGACACTTCCTTACAGTGTTGGGCAGGCTTATATAGATCATTGCATATTTGTGTAGGGTAAAATACAGAAATTTGAATTACTAGCTCAAAGGGCACTTTGAGTTTGTACGTCTAAGAGATTTATTCAAATTTCCCTTTTTGGATATTTTATAAATTTATATTCCCAACAGCAATATTATTCAACAGCCTCAATAACACAGTATTATCACAATGATGTATTTTGGTCATGTGGGTAGATGAAAAAGAAATACCATTATAGTCTTTACTTTTATTTCCTTAATAAATTGAGGTTGAGCATGTTGTCATATCTAAGAGGCATTTATATTTCCATTTCTTTGAATTGCCTATTCCTACCTATTATTCATTTTGCCTATTCATTTATTAATCTTTTTCTTAGTTATTTCTGGAAACTTTTATTCCTTTGCAACATAAATCGAAAATATTTTTTCTCAGTTTGTCATTTGTTTTTGGACTTAGGCTATGGTGTTTTGTCATATATAAGATATTATTTATGTTGTTGACTTTATTCTTTTTTAAAAAAGAAAACTTTTAATAGCTTCTGTATTTTGAATCATAGTTAGAAAGTCCTCAGCCCCTAGGAGGTAATAAAATAATTCTTCTATGTTTTCCTCATGTATTTGTATAATTTTATTTCATTATTTTAACATCTAAATATGTGATGGACTTGGAATCCATTGTGATATTCAGTAGAAAAATGAATGGATCCATTTTCATATTTTTCCAAATGGCCCCCCCATGTCCCTAATACCATTGACTGAGTGATCCAGTTAATTATACACTGACTTGAGACCACTGTATAAAATATACTAAATCTTCACATACATTTGAGGATTGTTTTTTTTTTTTTATCATTTTTTATATTTTGGAGACTATGTCTTGCTCTGTTGTCCAGGCTGGAGTAATGTAGTGGTTCGAACATATTTCACTGTAGCCTCAAACTCCTGGGCTCAAGTGATCCTCCAGCCTCAGCTTCCTGAGTAGCTAGGACTACAGGCACACACTATCACACCTAGCTAATTTAATTTATTTATTATTTATTTACATTTTGTAGAGGCAAAGTCTCACTATGAGACCTCAGGCTGGTCTCAAACTCCTGGCCTCAAGCAATCCTCCTGCTCTGGCCTCCCAAAGTGCTAGAATTACAGATGTGAGTCACTGTGCCAGGCCTGGATTTATTTCTGAATTTTCTATTTCACTTATTGATCTGTCCAGTTAAATAGAACATCATTGTATTATGATAGTAATGAACAGTTGTAATTAATGGACACTAATTTTATCTATTAATTAATAATATCTATTATGACTGATTATTTCTTTTCTTTTTTTCCTGGGTATTTGTATCTGTTTGTATGACTTTCCAAGGGCACTAAAAAGGATATTCTTTAGTCCTGTCCCTACCTCATAGGACGTGAGAAAAACTTGTATTATTATTTGTATCATGATAAAATTAACTTAAAGAAAGTTGACATCTTTACGTCAGTCAGCCTTTCTCTCCAAGAACAGTGCTCAAGTCTTCTTTGAGTCCTTTAAAAGTGTGTTAAAATATTATATATATATATATTGCAATATATATACTATGTGCAATATATATATAATATATATGTGCAATATATATATTGCCACATTTATTTAGGTTTATTCCTAGCTAGTTTAGCTCTATAAAGCGATGTTATTTTTGCCACGGTCCCTTTATAGGCCTGTCCAGATTTGATCTTTTTCTGACTTTGAATAAAATCACAAGAATGTCTCATATCCTCTCTGTACCTTGCTGTCTCAGGTACATTCTTTCTTCAGAAGTTAATACATCTTTTGTAAAAAACGATTCTCTAAGCTTCAATTAACTTTTAACATTTTTAACCTCCTATACCCTGGACACGCTTCAGTCTGGGAATGCTGAAGTGTGGGCTGGGTGGGGTGGGGTTTGTTTTTATCACCTAGTTACCTGTCACCTAGTTACCTATCACCTAGTTACCTTCTCCCAAGCACCATATTGTTATGCCTGGTGCATCATAATCTGACACTGGTTTCTCCTACAGAAGGTGGAAGCACATGATTGCTTTTTCTTTCTCTCCAGCGATTGTCTCTGTTTTAATTTGTTAATTTGTTTTCAGAGATTATCCTGATGCTTGTTCTCCTCTCCTGCGGCTAGGCATCCAACTCTCCCCTCTCTTAGCCAGCCCCTATTCTTCTAGCAGTTACTGCCTCTCCCCACAGCTCCCTGCCCCATATCCTCTCTCAGTGTATGCCCATTCTGCTTTCCTGGCCATCTTTTTTGTCAAGTTCTCCTCTAGAAGGTGCAGTGTGACTCTCCCCCACTGATAATGCTGATCTTTGGAGATCTACAGGTTTTCTTCACCTTTACTTAAGAGCAGTAGGAAACTCAGTACAACCTTCTTTCTCTTTAGTACCATATAGAGGCAGCTTCAGACAGATTTTCATCTTTAGACAATTTTTGGTGAGAGTTTAATGCTAATTATTAGAACTGTAGAGGGTGAGCAGGTCTGCAACCAGTTGTTTTAAGTGTGTAGAAAAGGATCCTCTTCACTTTCTCCATGGAGAGGGATGGGCCATTTGGGGAGCTTGGAGGATGCATAAAATTTTAATTGTAGCTGGGCGCGGTGGCTCACGCCTGTAATCCTAGCTCTCTGGGAGGCTGAGGCGGGCGGATTGCTCAAGGTCAGGAGTTCAAAACCAGCCTGAGCAAGAGCGAGACCCCGTCTCTACTATAAATAGAAAGAAATTAATTGGCCAACTGATATATATATATAAAAAAATTAGCCGGGCATGGTGGCGCATGTCTGTAGTCCCAGGTACTCAGGAGGCTGAGGCAGAAGGATTGCTCGAGCTCAGGAGTTTGAGGTTGCTGTGAGCTAGGCTGACGCCACAGCACTCTAGCCTGGGCAACAAAGCCAGACTCTGTCTCAAAAAAAAAAAAAAATTTTAATTGTGCCATAGGAAGTGATTCTCCCTATGGACTCTTAACACCCCACCGTTACAGGTGGCTTGAATGAATGGTCACTAACGCTGGTGGAAGCAGGTTTTATAGCCTGAGCTGGTACTTACACATGCTGTCAAGCAGCTTTCTTTAGCATGTAGAAGGTATATTTATTCTCCTTCTCTTTTTCTTGGGAGTTTCAGCTGAACTGAGATGAAATGAGGTCCATTTTAACAACCAAATACACCAAAAGTACTGCACTGTAGAAACTTGAAGATGAAAGCACATGGAGGTCGTTGTGGTAAAGCAACATTGCATTTTAGAATGTGCTCCCCTTACATGCGAGAATACAATGGCATTTCTCAAAGGGATAAAGTCTTTGCGAATCTTGATTCAGATAGGTTCATGGAAATTTGATCCAAAAAATTAAAATTATTTGTGGATCAAATATAATAGAATAAATTTATCTTTTGTCCATATGTTCATATATATTATAAAACTCTGCCATATTTTCTGTAGGGCATTTTGCCAGTTTCTGTCACACTTTACCTTTGTTTTTTCCTCTTTCATTTCTAAGGAATATTCCTCTCATTTGGATGTAGCAGTCTTCAGCCTCCTAAGAACAATTTGGAGTTGACTTTTCTACATATTTATTCCTTACAAGGAGTAGAACCAAGAAGCTGAAAATACTGCTGTAGAAGTATAACACACCATAGGATCATTCCTCATGTCATCATTTAATTAATACAAAAATGGCTGTGCTTTCCCCAAACCTCTTGCCTTTTCATGTTTTGTTCATGCTATTACCACTACACAGAGTGCTTTCTTCTCACTCACCTTAAACTATGATCTACTCATCCTTCAGGATTCTGTCCAGCATGAGTTAAAAAATATGTTTAAGAGCAAAGCTAAACCAAGAATGCCCTCATCAAAGGATGTATAAAATAGCCAATATTAAATTTAATGATTTTTGTATCATCATAGATGTAGAATATTTTTATGGAATTCTATTTAATTCAGATTAAGCATTGCATATACACACACACACACTCACAAGTCCTCTATTAGCTTTTAGGCTGAAAATCTAAAAAATATACAAATATCCTTTTATTTTTATAGTTTTTGTCTTAGTATGATCAGTCCTTTATTCCATACATGTCTCAGAAAATTAGAAACATAGAGTTTCAGTATTTGAAGAAACTCTATAACTGATCTAGATGAAATTTCTGCTGAATTCAAGAATTCACTATAGTATGTTACAGTACAATGCATACTATGTTGACAGACTGTCACCAGCTATTTGCTTGACTAGTTCAGATGAAGAGCAGTGGCCTTTCAAAGCAGAGCCCTTTGGGGTAATTTCAATTTTATAAAGTCCTTTGTGATACAGAATCAATGTTCGCCTCTCTGTAACATACCCATTTTTCTGGGAAGGCTCATGTTTAGCTGTACTTTTAGCACTTAGGAATTTACTGCTTGTTTTGTGAAAACTATAAAACCAACAAGATACTCAAGGGATAAACAAAAATAAATATGATCTTGTTCATACCCTAGAGGAAGCTACAGTCTTGTGACAATTTTTCAGATCTTTGAAAATCAGTATTAACTTATGGTCAATATCAGTGTGTTCTCATATTAACTAAAACTTTTTTAAAAGTATGAACATCTAAACATATTAAATGACAATTGTTATAGAGAATATCATACTGACAGAGTTTTGTTTAATCATTTTCTTTTTCAGTGCATCTATGTGACTTTATATATATATGTGTGTATATATGTATATATGTGTGTATATATATATACACATATATATTTAATATATATACATATATATATACACACATATATTTACACATATATACACACATATATTTAATTTCAGAGATATTTGGCAGAGTTTGGAATCTTAACATTTCCAGTAGCCATTTACTTTGGAAGGTGTGTCAGAATAAATGTATCAATCATTCTGTAATAATATGAAAATTATCTGATAATTTCAGTTCCACAGAGGCCAAACATGAGTTTATCTATATAGAATGATGTAATTGTTTTAAAACCTAACATGGCCTTTATAAACTATTAAGGGCTTCTTAGGATGTGAATCATAAGGAGCAACAGGTCTTCTTTATTGTGTGCTGTATAGCTTGCACTTTCTACCTTGTGTCACTTTGGGCAACCACATTATAAAGGGACCACTTGAAAGATGGAGAATAGTGAAAACTAACCGAGTTGATGAGGCATCTGGAAAAATATTTTACAGAAAAAACCCATTAAAGTAGATGGGAGAGTGTGAAGAGCACATGTAACTGTCTTCACATTGTGGAATGGTTGTCACCCGGAAAAGGAAATAAGAGCTATTTTTTGTAACTCTAAAGGGCAAAACTAAAACCAGTGTCTGAATGTCACTGGGTAACACATTTTGGTTTACAATAGCACAAGTCTTCTTCATTGAATGTTCTTCAATGTGGAAAAGACTGCTTCACTGAAAAAAAAAAATAATACCAGAAATGACTGGATATTTGTTTGGAGACTATAGAAGCAATTTTTCTTGCTGTGTGTTTTATTTAAAAAGAGACAGGTAGGGAGCATGAAAAGAAGGGAGTGATGAGAGCAGATTTAAATTACATATACAGTGACTTTATAGAGATGAAAAAAATCATGTCAGTTTAAAAAATTAAACTATACCAAACAACAATTACCTTGAAAAAAAAAAAGAAAAGACTGGTTTGTACACGCCTGTTAGTAAAAGGCGTAATGTAGGTATGAAATACCTTATAGAGTAGTGGCCTTTTAACATATAGATACCAATGTAATGGGGTTTCTTCTTTAGACCACCATGGAATAACATAGATGGAAAATACCTACCTTCATGAAATAAAAAAAAATATACAACATATAAAAGAGAATGTTTTTCAGGGTATTAGTTTTTCAGGGTTTTTCAGAATATGAATGGCAGTGATTTCTGTAAGACAGGAAAAAAAGTGAGCCTTATGCTTGCCTAACTTACTTACTTGAGAGAGTTCTTACCATGATGCAGTGATGGGGAGTTGAGGTGGAGCCAAGTGGTCTCCATGAGTTGATAAGATGGAGCTGAGAGCCCAGGAAGACCAAGATGACAAAAGTAAGGGCACAGTAGCAGACAGGAGAGAACTATACCTGGATCTCCAGATACACACACACACACACACACACACACACACACACACACACCCCTTCAAGTCTTCAGCTAAACACTTAACACTTAAGGCATGTGAAAAAACTAACCAAGAGGGAGGAAAGTCATCTAAAAGAAGAAAAATTACCTAGTACTGACATAAAGCTGTGAATAGGTCCTCTTCTCACCAGCCAGAATAGAAAAATCTTATCATTCAAGGAGCATTGGGTAGAGTAATGATAAGGATTCTGCCTCAGTATTGGGGAAAACATTAGTCTTAGGCAACATGCTGCTCTGAATCTACCTAATCAAGTTTAACAGCAAGACAAAGATCAAACTTTTTCTCAGCAATTAACTATATGATAGAATGAAGTTCAACAATATTTACAGAAATGCAAAAATATCCAGAAGCCAATAAAATAAATTCAAAATGTCTGGCATCCAATAAAAAATTACTAGGCATGCAAAGGTGTAAGAAAATGTGAATCATAATGAGGTGATAAACCAAGCAAAACAGCCGGGGCGTGGTGGCTCACGCCTGTAATCCTAGCACTTTGGGAGGCTGAGGCAGGCGGATTGCTCAAGGTCAGGAGTTCGAAACCAGCCTGAGCGAGACCCTGTCTCTACCAAAAATAGAAATAAATTAATTGACCAACTAAAAATATATATACAAAAAATTAGCTGGGCATGGTGGTGCATGCCTGTGGTCCCAGCTACTCGGGAGGCTGAGGCAGTAGGATCGGCTGAGCCCCAGAGATTGAGGTTGCTGTGAGCCAGGCTGACGCCACGGCACTCACTCTAGCCTGGGCAACAAAGTGAGACTCTGTCTCAAAACAAAAAACAAAAAACAAAAAAAAACAAGCAAAACAGACTCAGAATGACACAGAATTAGTAGATCAGGACATCAAATTAGTATTTATAACTATAATCTATGTGTTCAAACAGCTAAAGGAAAGGTTAAGCATGAGAAGTAGATATATGGAATATATAAAAAAGACATAGGAATTCTTGAGTTAAGAACTAAATTATCTGAAATGAAATATGCATTGATTAGGATTAATAGCACATTAGATATTTCAGAAGAAAAGTTATTGAATTTGAATACATAGCAATGGAAAATATCCAAAATAAAACACAAAGAGAAAAATATTGCAAGACAAAAAGTGAACACGACTTTAGGAAGCCAAAGAAAAACTTTTAGCGGCTGGTAAATATGTAATTAAAGTCCAAGAAGAAAACAGGGGCAGAACAATATTTAAAGAAATAATAGTCTTTTTTTTTTTTTCAAATTTAATGATAGCTGTAAACCCACAAATCCAAGAATGTCAACTAATCCAAGGTGTAAGAAATATCAAGATACTATACCATGGTGCATCATAATCCAATGATAAAGAGATAAATTTTTAAAATATACAGAAAAAATACAGATTAAGTACTGAGAAATAAAAAGGATAGTTGTTTTCATTTCAAACATAATTCAAAGCAGAAAAAAGTACAACAATGTCTTTAAAGTAAAGAAAGTACCCAAATGTCAACCTAAAATTCCATATCCAGAAAAAAAATCTTCCAAAAATGGAGCATTAAACATTCTTTGAGACATACAAAGCTGAAAGAACTCATCAACAGTAGCCCTAAACCACAATATATTAAAGGAAGTCCATGTGGCAGAAGGAAAATTAAGGAGAATAGGAATCTGGATCCACAAAATGGAAAGCAGAGCACTGGAAATGGTAGCTACAGGATAAATATGAATGTATATTTTTATTATTTAAAGTGCTTTAAAGAAAAGAGAATTTTTTTAAAAGCAAAAGTAATAAAAATATATTGTGAAATTTATGATGTATATAGAATTAAAAAGCATGAAAAAATAACACAAAGCTGGAAGGGAGGAAGGAATGAATATGGTTTAAGCTTCTTAGTCTATACCTAAAGTGGTATCAAATATCTTGAAAGTATATTGAGATAAGTTAAATATGTATACTATAACCTCAAAGCAACCACTAAAATAAAGAAAGAAAGAACCACAACCAAGAAACCACCCAAAGATATTAGATAGAATAATAATGTGAAATTAATTCAAAAGGAGGCAGAAAATGAGGGAAATGGGATAAATATAAATTGAATAACAAGACTATAAGTTTAAACTCAAATATATCAAGAATCACATTAAATATAATTTTTTTTTTTTTCAGAGACAGTGTCTCACTCTGTGACCCCAGGTGGAATGCAGTGGTGTGATCATAGCTTACTCACTGCAGCCTCCAACTCCTGGGCTCAAACGATCCTCTTGCCTCAGCCCCTCAAGTAGCTGCAACTACAGGCCTGCACCACTACGCCCAGCTAAATTTTCTTGTTTTTGTGGAGACATGGTCTTGCTATGCTGCCCAGGCTGAACTCCTAGCCTCAAGCAACCCTCCCACCTCAGCCCCCTAAAGGGCTGGGGTTACAGGTGTGAGCCACCATGCCAATCTGGAATCAAATTAAATGTAAATTTTTAAATACCTCAATTAAAAGGCAGAGATTGTCAGTTTGGATAAAATACAAGATCAAAGCATATA